TTGCTTATATTTGCCTTGTAGCGTTGAAGCTTATCAGCTTGTCTATGTTGTGAAATGCATCAATAGCGTTTGGATTTAGATATCATCTGGATTCTCTATTTTATCTCAAGCATTCATTGATGGATTACAGACTCATCCTGTTTGGGCTCACAGGTTTGTCTGTTATCTTATTGTGACTTCTTATAACCCTTTTTTTTTTTTTTTTTTTTTACATTTTTCTGGGTTCAAATCCCAGGAGAGACCTGCTTACATGTCCTGTCTGTCTTTGTCTTAATACTTCTTTTTCTTAAATTCATCATGTTCAGATGTTTACATGTTTCCAAACCATTTGTTAGAATCACTTGAGACCAGATGACAAGGATAAACTGTTTTGCGTATCCATCCATAAATTGCTGCTCATTTCTTCTTCATAGGTCTAGTAGTGCATTTTTTTTGTAGCTTGAACAAACACTTTCTATTTTGCTTAGTTCAGGGCTTTGTGATGTCTACTCCAAAACATGAACTTGCTGTTTGTTCTTGCTAATTATTAGTGCCATTCAGAAGTAATACTTTGTTACTGAGTTATAACTTAAAGTGTGATGTCTTGAACCGATATTTTCATAAAATTTTCAGCTTCCACCTTATTTCTCAAAAGATAACAAAAAAGGAAACAACTGAACAACTGAATTAATTCATTAACACAGAATTTTGATTTACAAAGGAGGTAATTCAGCCGTTTAGGTGTATTAGTGCCAGAACACTGGAGATAAACAAACCTGCTTTGAAGGTTATTTTGCGGTTTCTTCCTGCTTACCGAGTCCTTTTAACTACACAGGTGACAGAAACTGCATTAAAACAAATTCTGGAAGGGCCTTATGACAAATTGTAGACCTGAATGTCAATGTTGACGGTGAACAAAATGTAAAATTATTTTTATTATTATTAAGCTTGGCTAACAAGGCTTACTAAATGCTTTTAATCACTACTTTGCTGACATTTTACAGAGAAAAACACTTGGAGAAAATAAGGAAGATGAAT